AAAGAGACAAGAGGAAAGGGACACCCACATGGAGACAGGTAGAGAAAGGGGAGGTGAAGGACCTATGAGATAGAAACAGAGGGGAGCAGTCGAGCCAGAGAGAAATCACACCCAGGAGGAGACAGTGGGAGAAAAAAATAGACAGTGAAACAGACACGAGAGAGGCAGAGGGACAGGAAGCGGTGAAAAAGGTGGGGGCAGGAGGAAAAGAGAGGGCAGATGGACAGACTGACCGTGGAGGGGCCACCCGGCCAGACACAGGGGGGCCCTGAGTGAACCAGGTGTAACGGCAGGGAGGGGAGCTGACCAACCGAGCACTCACTGGGTGCTAAGCTTTGGGCGTGTGACTTTACCTCTGGGATCTCACTCCATGAGCTTGTTTACAAAAAGCTCAGCCAGGGGCCTGGAGCAGGGGTCTGGCTGAGGTCCCACCTGTGGGTGAGGAGCCATGGGCATGAGGCTGGCCTCCTTGCTGGCCTTGCCACTTCCAGCTCCAGAAGGAATGAGGATACTGAACTCTTCTCTTTTGGAAACTGATGATGAAGCCTTGAGTGTATGATCAGGTGCCATCTCTGAGTGACTGGGAGGTGGGTACCCATGGTGCCTCTGGGCCCTGCCTCAGGGTTACCCTCCGTGGTAGGTTGCTATGGTAACAGCTCCCAATGAACCATACTTCCTGGAATCCATGCCATGGATCATCCCCTCCCACACGGACTCTGGCCTGGGCCACCTGACTTGCTGTGGCCAATGGGACATCAGCAAGTGTGACAACAGCAGAGGCTTGATCAGGCCTGTGTGCTGGGGCCTGTCCTCTTGGAACTCTGAGACCACCAGACAATGAGAAGCAGAGAGACAGGAAGCAGTGAGGAAAAGTGGGGGGAGGGAGGAAAAGAGAGGGCAGATGGCCAGATTGACAGTGGGGTGACCACCAGGGGCTCACCATACTGAGTGACCCCAGCAAACCCACAGAATTATGACAAATAATAAACCATGGCTGCTTTAAGCCACAACATTTTGGGGCAGTTTGTTATATGGCAGGAGATAGCTGACAGAGAAATTGAGTTCCCTGGCTCATGCATTTAACTGGGGGTCAGCCGCTGGAAGGCCCAAGATGGCCTCATGCACATGCCTGGCAGCTGACCCTGGCTGTGGCGCAACCTTCTCCATGCCCCAGCAGGCTGGCTGGCTTCCTTTTATGGGGGCCTCAGGACCATGTTCCAGGAGAGAGAGTGAAAGCTTCATGTCTCTTAAAGCCCACTCTGGGAATTTATAAACATCACTTCTGCTACATTCTATTGGCCAAAACCCACCCAGATTTAAGGTGTGGGAGGAATGGCAAAGTCACTCACTCTGAGGCCAGTGCAGGGATGGGAGGAGTTGACAACATCGTTTTCTATCTACTCCATATGCCTCCTGATGCTGGGAGAAGCCTCCTGGAGGCTGGTGCACTTCTGGGGAGCCTGGGGTAAAACTCCCAAATCAGTCCACGAAGCTGTTCTTGGAACCTTCTGACTCGGCAAATTCATTCACTCATTTATTAAACCCTTATTGAGGGCCTACTATGTGCAGGGGCTACAGGGTCAGATAGATATGGTTCAAGACTTCTTTCCATCTTTTACATGCTATCTGACCTTGGACAAGCTCTTGAGTCTCTCTGAGCCCCAGTTTCCTATTCTGTAAAGTGGGGATATCCAGTTGCTAGGGCTGTTGGGAGGATTAAATGAGATGAAGCTTCCAGCAGCAGGTCTCACATTTTGGGGATGTCTCACTGATCCCCTCCTCTGGTCCTGGGTTGGGTGTCCCATAAATAACTTCATCCTGGGCAGGAATCCATACTGACCTCTTCACCATCTTATCTTTAGGGTCTGGCCTATAGTAGGTGTTCAATACAACTGTGACTGCCCGGCTTACTCCCGTAGACTCTCGGTCCCACCTCATGGCGCCTGGGTGTAGCTGTCTATTTGTTTTTGGCTTCTCTGTTGGAACAAAAGCCCCGTGAGGGTGGAAACCAGATCTGGTTCATCATCCTCACCCAGGATCTGGCACTTGGAAGCGCTCAACAAAGGTTCATGTCATTCCTTCCCAGGAAAACGGACCTCTCTGGCCCACCTGAGAATTTTCAGAGATATCTTGAAGTCTCTAAGCAAGTCCTTCTATTCTTGCTGGGGCTGTGACGGGTGAGGCTGGTAATTAGAACCTGGCCACGGCTCCCTGCAGCCTTCTGCTCACCCCAGTTCCAGCTGTTGTTCTCTCTACCCTGTTGTCCCCTCCAAATGCTACAGAAGGGGCCCTGGAACCCAAGTGATGCCTCATTAGACTGCAAATGCCATCCCCGTCGCCCCTGTGGGGGGCTTGCTGGCAGATCTGGCCTTTAAAACACACATTAATTTCTCCTTTGGCACTGGGCCTTGTGGCACCCCGCCCCCTCCCGTCCCTCACACCTTCCTCTCAGGCCCGTTCAGGCTCTGCTCCCTGCTATCTGCACAGCGAGAACAGACTGTACCTCACAGCAGCTGCTAAATATAGACCCGCATCAGCGGAATATTCCTGGCTGGGGAAATGGAGCTGGGCTGGGAAAGACACCGAGCGGCTCCTGCAGTGGGGCTAAGGAAAGGGGGGGGGCAAATATGGATCTAGGAAATGTCCACAAAGACCCTTTCAGGCTGAGCAAGTTGAGGGACCCTAGATAGAACAAGGACCCATTGGCACCTTCGCCTGCCTTGCCTGGTGCCCACTCTCTGGCTTCTTGGGGACTAACTCATCCTGCCCTTCCAGGCTCCATGGCTCCCCACTTGCCCCATCCTCCAGACCCTCTGCAGCGGGAGATGCTCTTCCTCGGAACCTGGCCATCCTCCTCAGTCTCTTGGAGTCTGACTCTTCATCTGCCCACCCCTGCCACCTCTCAGACTCAGTCCTGGCCCTTCCCTTATTTCTCTGTTTGTGTCTTCCTCTCCTCCCCGAAAAAAAGCTGATACATTCTAAGGGCTCCACCTCCTCAGGTTCTATCATCGTCATCATCATCGTCGTCGTCTTCTTCATCCCCCTGCGTCGAGCTCTTCATGCACTCACTGCTCCGTGGCCTGCAAGCTCTCTTCTAGATACTGAGTGGCTCCCACCCTCACTTCATTCAGGTCTCTGCCCCAAGGTCATCCCCTAGAAAGTCCTGTCCTGATTTCTTCAGCTAAGTCTCTCCCCTTACCCTGCTGGCACTCATTGCTCCCTGGCATTATGGTGTATGTTTATATGCTTGTTTTCTGTATTCCCAACGTGAATAAACGCTCCATGAGGGTAGGCCTAGTGCTGTGTTCCCAGAGCCTAGAACAGAGCCGGGCATACAGTAGGCACTCTATAAAGAGTTGCTGAATGAATGAATGAACTCCTCCATTGAATCCTCACAACAATCATGTGAGATGGGTATTATTATCCCTGTTGTGGACATGGGGAAATCAAAGTTTACAGAACCCTGACCATTTTGGATCTTCGAGTCCAGATTTCAGACAACCTGCTAGAGGTTCTAGATGTTTCTTTTCTCCTCTTTTCTCATCTTAAAGCCAATATGGTTAAGACGGAATTAATTAGCTCTGTACCGGATCACAGTGCCCATCCACGAATTCCTCAGCGTCTAGATAGTTCTCTTACTCCACATTCCTCCCTCTGTGTCCCTTCCCGTCTCAGGCTCCAAAGTTAGGAACCCCTGGATTTCCCCCTCAATCTAGTCCCTCATAATCTCTAGGCCCCAAGGTTTGCCCTTCTCAGGACCTCACTCTCAGCCCTCAGACTCCCTTCTCAGCACCTCAACTAACCCTCACAACCAATCCTACATCATCTCTGGCCCCATAAC